TTTAATCCCATGAGGAACTGAATAAGTCTTCTATCTTGTTCAGCCTTGTGCATATTCTCCTTAGCCCCACAAGTGCACTGACAACTACATTGTGACTTAGCATTTATCATGCTTAATTCCTCCCAGAGCTTCTTCATTTTCGTATTATATCCGGTAACATCCAGGACTCCCTGAGCTGAATCGTTGATTTCCTTTTGGATTTGATACAACTTAGTGCCATTACTCTGGTAGTACCTATCTTCCAATTCCCTCCAAAGTTCAAAAGCATTGTTAGCGTACTCGACACTGTCAGCAATTTCCTTGAACAAAGAATTCAGAATCCATGAGGTTACAATATCGTGTCACCTTTCCCACTGACGAAATTGTGAAGAATCCAGATCTGGTGGCTTGTACTCACCAGTGATGAATCCTACTTTATTTTTGACTGAAAGAGCTCTGAGGACGCTCCTTCTCCAAGATCGGTATCCGACGCCGTTGAACGGAGCTGTCACCAACATCGCACCAGGATTATCCGATGGATGCATGTAAAATGAGCAGCTTGGATTGACTCCGGGGTTAGTAGCGGCGACGTGGGTTAAATCACTTGATTCAACTCCAAAATCATTGTTTGGATCAAGGATAGCCATGAGAATCAATGTCAATTTGTCAAAAATGAAGCGAGAAGAAGAAAATGTCGGATCGAGAAAATTGGGGCAAAAATGGAGACGGTGACTGTATCTTTAGAATCCAAAAAATTGAGAAACGCTACTAGAAAATAGGCCTATTGGAACAGTTTTCCTGGAACGGTTTTAAAACCGTGGCAACAGACTGGATATTGTAACGGTTGTAACCGTTACAATAGCATTTGGATGAAACCAGCACAATTTAGATACTAAACCGTTCCAGTTGACACTTAACCGGTACCATAGGTATTTTTTATAGGAACGATTTTATAAACCGTCCTAATATACCTATTTATAGGAACGGTGTTTGAAAATTTTGTTATTGGATTAACTTCCCAAAGTCCTAAAATCCATTTGTTTCACTCGAAGGAGATGAAGAACATAGGAATAATTAAAGGTAGCGATTACAGGTGAAGAAAATATTCCAATCGCGAGAAATTTTCGACCCAAAAGGCAATCTGTGAGTAATCATTTTCAGGTAATTTATTTTCTAATTTGGGAATTATCTTCTATATTATCATTTTTTTTTCTTTAAGCATTATGGTGTGAGCAACGTGAGCTTAATTTTCATTTGGGTATGGGTAACGTGTGTCAAAATTTATTTCAGTAAATATTGTGAATTCTTATGTGAACTAAATTTCTCCGGAAAGTTACATTGAATTTTCTGTTGCATGAGCTATTAAGATGGGTAGTTTGGGTTATTGACTCTAATTGCATGAGCTATGTCATTGAGGTACATCCCCTGCAATTTTGATTATAGAATGTCGTCTCCTTGTTTCGATAAAAACTATCCTCAATAGCACGCAATGCACAATTCCTGTAACATCTGTTGTAATGCTAAGCCTTCTGGTTTAGGGATCAAACTCTATAAGAAAGGTCTCCCATATTCAATTTGAGCTATTTTAGATCCTCCGTAGTTTGACTAACCTACTATATATGTGTTCAACTAGTTAATGTGTCCGCGCTTTGCACAGTCGGACATAATTTCTTTACAAATTTAATTGATAGAGAATCCATAATGTCGCATGTGCTTGGGCCAGGACATGATCCCCATCTGATGTCTTTCCTTTTAAAGAAAGATGCAAATACATGGTTAGTGAAGAGAGGACTACTCTATTGTACAGTTTTGCTGCTATTAACAGTTAAGATAGAAAAAAACAAAAGGAGTAAATGAACTATGATATAGTTATACAAATGATCATATGAAACTACTTTTAACCTTGTAAACTTCCTTGGCTCCAAAACAGAGGAATATTACAATAGATTCCTCAAAATATTGCAACTTCTTTTTGTTGTCTTTTACCTGTGTGAATGTGCCTCGGCTAGTGGAACACAAAATCTGATTTTAGCTTAATGGATCTCATGTATGGTATGATGTATCAGTTTGTCTTCGATTTTCTTCTACCTTCTTTCCTTTCTTCTTACTGATTATGGTTTCTCTTAACTAGTAAAACTATAGAATAAGTTTTATAACACTTGTCATGTTAAATGCTTTTCGTTCTTTTACTTTCTATTATTACGTTATGTCTTTTTAATTTGTATAACAATGTACTTGCTCTTATTCTGGAGTAACGATGAAGTACAACTGGAGTTCCGAGATACATGGATAGCTGGCATGTTGTGAAGGAAACTGCAAGGTCAGGATAAATTTCAGCCTTATTTATTGCTGATGCACTTGATTGGCATCAAGCATTGAGTTTCTTTATATTGAACTGTGTTCAGAATTTAAATATGTTCATTGAATGCTCTTAATTGTGGCTGACAGTATCAGGGAATCAAACTGAGAATAAACAAAAGCCAAAGAAATTCTCATTCCTTTTTATTTATTTTTCTAAACTATACTGTAATTCTCTTTTAAGACCGTTAAGTTTAAAAGGTATCCAGTCTGTATCGAACTCTTTAAAAGAATACTTAATACAAAAGGATATGCATGGGGAGCAAATTACATGCTTCAAGTTTCCTAAGTCCTCTCTCAATCCTTATTTTTTTCCCATCCCGTGTCTTCCCGTCGTCTAATAAGAGAAGAAAGTAGAACCCCCTTCGTTGGCAAAAGTACTCCTTAATTTTTCCCCTCTTGTTCTTTTCTTTCACATTGTAGAAACTGGTAAACAAATAATATGAAATTTGAGTGAACTTTCATCATTTAGTTATTGAAGAATTTGTAAATTATACATTTGATTGTTTCTTATCACCAACAAAAGAAAAAAAAAGAATTACACAGTTGAATGTTGGAAATTTTGTGATTTCCTAATGCTCTGCAGAAAGAAAAATTCAGACCTTGAAAGATTAACACAAACTCAACTTGAAGAAAGAAATCTAAAAGTTTGTCATGATTTAATGAGGTAGTTCTTAAAATAAACAAAATAGATTTATGCCACATTACAGAAGTGTTCAACCTTGGAAGAAGGTATAGTTCTTGGTATCCCTTATTGAATCTTCATGGTGTAAATTGGAATGGTGGATTATAGTGAAACCCTGTTATAGTTCATTAAATCTTATGTACAGATAGTGTTTTTCTCCTTCTTTATATCTCCTTTTGCTATCTTTTCGGATGTAACTACAACACTTTCTTAGTGGTGGCTTCTGACATCAATAATACTTACCATTTCAAATAAAAGTTGTATACCATATTTTCTATATAAAAATAAAATAAATAAACCTGATTTGCTAATTACCCTTAAGTCTTAATCCACATCACCAAGTTAGCATCCACTTGTGTAAAATGTTATTGCACTTATAGTGTAAG